CTTTTTAAAAAAAAAAAAAAAAAAAAAAAACATTGTCAGATGAATTATTCAAAGAAGTAAACGATACTACAGTACTTTTCAAATACAAAATTAGAACTCTGAAAATGTTAAGGTGAAAATACTTGATATCATTTCATTTCCTATTGGAATTTGGATTGAGAAATAGTTCATATGACTAGTGAATCACTACTCAACCCAGAAGTTTAAGTTTAAGTTGATGAGTTACTATAAATTTAATTATATCTGTACTTTAATACTTCTTACTTGGGGTTTGAAAATTTGTAGAAAGTCCAACAGGTGGAAATCAATATAAATCGGGGAGAAAATGACATTACAAGGATTTGAACACAGAATTTCCTGCTGTTAAATCACCACTCAACCATAACGATTAAGCTGATGGATTAGAGACTTATAGTAAATTTGAAAAAGAAATCCCCACTCTCTATTTCTGTTTGTACTAACGATATCTGTAGCTTTTACTTCAATATTATTTATTTTCACTTCCTACACCCTCTCTTTTGAATTGTGCATTCATACTTGTGTGCTTGCATAGCTGTATCTACGTTAGATAGAAGTACTTGGTCTTCCTTGACATGATTAGCTCTCTCTGTCAATACAACACTCTCCGGACCCTTATTGAGCAGATTTGATATCGTCCTTGTGCTTTTAGATACCAAAAATCCCGAATGGGATGCAGTTGTCTCATCACATATTCTCTCCGAGGTAATCTGCTCTCTATGTTATCAACTCTTTTTTCTTTGATGTTCTTCTAATTGTTTAATGATCTTTATTTTTAGTGCCAACAAGAAAAGGGAAAGCGTGATAATGATCTTTCAAGTAACTGGCCTCTTACTATGCTTCGAAGGTACGATTTTCTTCACAATGATATTTGATTTCCCTCTTGAATTTCAATGGTAGGATAAATTATTGCTGTAATTTCATTCATTACTAAATTAGAGTCCGGACAGGGGAATTATTAACCAATATTGAAATGAAAATAGTCCAAGTTTTGATTTCATACCAGTTCTATTTCTAGTACCAAGTATTATTAGGAAGATGTGAACTGATTATCGATGAATGGATGAGTTTACATGTGTCTCATTTGTCTTCATCTGGTTCAACTCCTAATGCCTAGGTAGTCTCTAAGCCTTCAACATTCAACTGGAGTATTAGTCTTATTCTCGCAGGGGTCTATATTTGGCCGACTGCTTCAACTTCTGTCCATTTTTGTAACAGCTCATGCGCACCGCTAGTAGATATTGTCTTCTTTGGGCTCTTCCTTCCAGACTTCTCCTCAAGGTTTTAAAACACGTCTGCTAGGGAGAGGTTTCCACACCTTTATAAGGAATGCTTCGCTCCCCTCTCCAACCAATGTGGGATCTCATAATCCACCCCCCTTAGGGACCCGCGTTCTCGCTGGCACACCATCTAGTGACTAGCTCTGATACCATTTGTAACAGCCCAAGCCCACCGCTAGCTGATATTGTCCTCTTTGGACTTTCCCTTCCGGGCTTCTCCTCAAGGTTTTAAAACACGTTTGCTCGGGAGAGGTTTCCACACCCATATAAGGAATACTTCGTTCTCCTTTCCAACCAAAGTGGGATCTCAATTTTTCTCGTGACACACCTTTGCAACTCAGCCAAGTAGTATACTAGAACATGTTTAGTCAATGCCGAGTGGTGTCATTTGGAAGCTGTCTATAGGATTAGGGTTTACTTTCATACGCTTTCTGGAAAACTATTTATAAACATGCAGTTTAGTATTACCTTTTTGAAGGGGCATTAATCTATCAGTTGTGTTTCTGATTGTATGATTAGTTACATCATAAAACAACAAACACAATGTAAAAATGGTTGTATCTAATTTCAACTCTTCTTTTTAATTTCTTTCAGCACATTTTGTCAAACGGGAATTTGTCAGACTATTGATTTCCGTTTAGATCTATTAAACAATATTTAAAAACTTTAATCACGAAACCATTACACTAATTGAATGTTTGGATCTGAACAACCTGACGACCATCTTGAGTGATCTAACCTTTAAGGAGGAACTGCTTAAGCTAACATATCTATTTTAAACATTCTGCAGATACCTCCAATTTGTAAAAGGATACTTCAGACCGGTCCTGACCAAGGAGGCAGAACAAATTATTTCAAGATACTATCAGCTTCAAAGAAGATCAGCAATGGATAATGCAGGTCTCACTTGAAAATGGTTTATTTTTACGAGATTGTTCTAATTATCCTTCTAATTCTAGATTCTTAATCATGCAGCCAGAACAACAGTCCGCATGCTCGAAAGTTTGATACGTTTAGCACAAGGTTTGTTCTTGTTTAATGTTTCACTCTTTCCTAGACAAATTCTCATATCGTCTAATGCTTCCTCTCCATCGACATTGCAGCACATGCACGGCTCATGTTTAGAAATGAGGTTACTCGGCTCGATGCCATTACGGCTATATTGTGCATCGAATCATCCATGACGACCTCAGCTTTAGTGGATAGTGTTGGGAATGCCTTGCACTCCAACTTTACCGAGAACCCAGATGAGGAATGTATCCTTCCTTCCTAAGTTAAAATTTATAATTGTTACTTTGTCATGCATCCTAACTCAAATATATAAAGCTAGAATAGGACTATTTCCTTGCAAAACTTGGGACGAAAAATGTTATAGGAGCTAAATTATAGAATATTATCTTCAGTTTGTGGTTAAACAGTGCACCTATCTTTTGGAATTATCCTATAGTTTTCAATGGACTAGTTCTTATATTGTCTTTCAAAACAGAACGTTGCTTAGGAATCATGTTAGGAGTGAGGCATTTCTTCTGTTAACTTCTTGCAGTCTTCATTGTTCAACATAAAAAGTGGTAAGATTAGGGGTATTGTTTTGCTTCATGCCATTTTGTGTACACTTTGCTTAAAGCTACCGTCTGTTGTTGAGTTCTTGACTCCATGCTTTACTAGATGCAAAGCAAGAAATTTTGATCCTTGAGAAGCTCAAGTCGATAGACGAATTTCCTGAAATTGGCAGCTGAAGGCCATCAGAAATATTACAGTTAAATACATTACTGATATCTTGCTTTTCCCTTGGAGTGGGTAGGCGTTGTCCTTCATATATGGTCTTACGACTTTGCAGAGACTTGTCTTTTTGGTAGATAGTCGTTCGGGCCTGGTCACTGCGACCCCCTTTGTGAGGAGGCACCCCTTCTCTTGAATTTATGAGACTATTTTGTCGGGTTCCTTAGAGAGAGTTGTCTCATGCCCCTGAAAATTACGATCTATTTTCTTTAAAAATTTCGACTAGACAAAGAAGAAAAAAGAGAAGAATAGTGCCATTACCATGCTCAAATGCAGCGGGAAGATGCCTAGATATCTAAAGTCCTCAGGAAAATTTGTAATGAAGTCTATTCAGATAGTCTTGTTTGTTTTCTAGAATTTTTGTATGACAATGCCTATGATGTATTGTTCCAACCACTTTATAACTTATAAACATATTAATATCCTAATTAGTTTTTTGGCTGTGTAATAAATTTTAGATTTTAAGTCTCTGTTATTCGGTTCCTGAGGTTACCGTGAAGAGATTATTAGGGGTTAACTAATTAAATTTATAACAATGAATTGGTACGAGTGACAAGGGTCTACATAGCATCATAGTAGTTGGTAGAAGCATAATGGTCACTCACACTAATACAAGCATATTAGACCGTGTACGCAATGTATTGGATTGGGCTGGATGTTACAAGGTCATGTCGTAGGTATGATTAATGTCAGCATATTATTATATAGACTATTTAGAGGATTTCCAACGATCGTTGGACAATCGCTTTCATGATTTTGAGGATTCGTCACTATCACATTTCCCTTGATTGCATTAGAAAGAAATTTCATTTAGAAATTAACTAGAGATCGTTACATTATTGAAAACAAACCTACCATAAATAAACCAACTCATGATATAAATAAAGTTTCTATAGTTCTCCATGCTTATAATAACATCTATCATCAAAATTCTTCCTAAAATTTAATTAATAATGTAATATTGATTAGTTGAGTCTCGATATAATGACACGATATTATTGAGTTGACAATTTTGAAGGTCATGACAATAATTTAATAGTGTTTAGTTGAATAACATACCTCGCTTTTTTTTATTTTTTTTTATTTGCCATGTTATTAAATATTTTATCGTTGATTAAATGTTATGAACTTCAATTTTTGTCGATTAATCTCTAAACTTTAAAAAGTTTCTGTTTGGTTCCTAAATTTTTACGTGTTTATATCTAGTAGATCCTATATCTAATAAATTTGTAAGCTTTTGATTTTATATCAAGTAAATTATTTAATTTCAATTTTGTATTAACATTTTTTCAAAAATTTACGAACATATATTGGACACGTATATTTATCAATATAATATTAAAAAAAGACTAAATTAATAAAAATGTCTTTGAACTATACCTTTCTCTCAAAATTACTCCTAAACTTTCAAAAAATTTCAATATTATCCCTAAACTTTTAGAAAAATTTTAAAATACAAAAATATTCTTAAACTTTCAAAATAGTTTTAAAAATACTCTTTAACTTTGGACCGTGTTTAAAAATATCCTTGTTTTCAAAAGTTTCATTATTATTCTTAAACTTTTTTTTAAAAAAATTAAAAATACCTTTACCATTTTAGTAAATGCTCATGAACTTTACAAAATAACATTAACCATGGTTTTCGTCTACTATACTAGCGGTAAATATATTTTTGAATTTTTTTTAAAAAGTTGAAGGATACTAATGAATTTTTTTTTAAAGCAGAGTATTTTTTAAACATTATTAAAAATTCAAGAGTATTTTTGAATACTATTAAAAGTTCGAGAGTATTTTTAAAATAAAGTACTCATGATTTTCATCCAAAACTAACGTTAGGGGTATTTTTGTGATTTTCTTGAAAGTTTAAGGATATTATTAAAACTTTTAAAAGTCGTATTTTGTAGAGGGATATATTTATTAATTAATTTAGTCTAAGAAAATGGATGAAAATTTTAAAATAGCATTTCACTCTTAACATTTATACCTTTCTCAAATTCTCACACATTTTTTTTTAGGAAATATGAAAAAAAGAAAAGTAAAAAAAAAAAAAAACGTTAATGGATGGAAACCGTCCATTCACACCTCACAGATCATCTCTAAATTTTTTAATTTTTTCTTAAAGTTTAAATATTAATGTTACATTTTCGAAAATTATATGTATTTTTAAAGTACAATAATATTTTTGAAATAGTTGGTAGGATACTTTTTAAATTATAAATTATTTTGAAAGTTTTAGATGTATTTTTTAAATATAATATTAACCGTTTTTTTAGTTTACATATATTATTAAAAAATTAAAATATTTTTTTTTATAGTGAAAGTGTAGAGTTCATAAATATTTTTATTAATTTCGAAAATTAAAATAGAAGAATTTCATTGATATTTTTTAAAATTATGTACCTTTAAAAAGCCTAAAAATTTAAAGATTAATTTTATAAACTAAAAAAAAGCACCTATAGATAGAAATAGTCTATTCAAACTTCATGGATTATCTCCAAAAAAAATTTTTAATTTTTTCTAAAAAAAATATTAATATAACATTTTTATTGCTATGAGGTATTTTCAAAATATGGTATTTATGGTTTTATCCATATAACAATAATAAAAGTATTTTTTAAGTTCTTAAAAATGTTTAAAGATATTAACGAGCATTATAAAGTTCAATAGTATTTTTAAACTATTTTTAAAATTTTTTTTCCATTTAAAACGAACTATAAGAATATTTATTAATTTTTTTTTTTTTTTTGAGTAAAAGGATATTATTAAAATTTTTGAAAATTTAAAAGTATATTTTTTTTTTACGGAAAAGTTTAAAAGTATTTTTATTAATTTCGTAAATTAAAATACAAAAAGATAATATTTGATATTTATTTATTTATTTTTTCCTTCTAAAATTACTTAATAGATAAACTCAAAATTTTGAAAAAAAAAAACAAATAAAAGAAACGCATTTCATTTTTTTTTTTTTCAAAAATTCAAATTTCATTTTTCTAAAAAACAGAAAAGAATCTGTGACAGATTGCATTATTGGCTTCATTTACCAAGACAGCCATTATCATCCAACGGCTACTGAACCATAGCCGTCGATCACTCGACCGTTACAACTCCCAACGCTAAAAACCCTCAAAAAAATCCCAATTCACTGAATCACCACCGTCCATTCCTCCCCCTCGAGATCTCTTCCGCCCCAAATTCCGATCAAATCCAACGGCCTAATCTCTCCCACCACCCCTTATAAATCCCCTCCCTCCCCCTCTCCCTCTTCACCAAATCAACCAACTTCCTCTGTTTTGCTCTGTTTTGCTCTGTTTTGCTCTGTTTTTACTCTGTTTTGCTCTGTTTCGCTCTGTTTTTACTCTGTTTTGCTCTGTTTCCGATGGCCTCCAGAAGCTTCCTTGTTGCTCTTCTGCTCGTTGCCTTGGTAGCTTCTCCGGCTATGGCGGGGCACCACCACACCCACTCGAAGTCGCCTGCGCCGGCGCCGTCCCCGGTCGTTTCTGAAGCTTCTTTGGCCCCTGCGCCGTCCCCTGTTTCAGCGCCTGCACCGGCGGAAAGCGGCGCTGGTGTTATTGGTACAGGATTTGCTGGATCTATGGCTGTTGGTGTTGGGATTTTTGCTGCTGCTTTATTTTAGATTATGGTGGGAATTTTGTTTTTTTGTTTCTTTTTTAATCAAATTTATATTATTTTATTTTTGTTGTGATTATGATTATTCAGTTCTGAGTTTTAGAATTTCAGTCTAGTGTGGAAATAAAGTATTTTTTTTTTAATTTTATTAAGGATTCTATTTATTTTTTACATAAAAATTATAATAAATTATAATATTTAGAAACTAAATTAAAAAAAAAAAACACTTATGGATTGAATTAATTTACTATTCTTCTTTCTTTTTCATCTGTTCATTAATATCTGCCTTTGATTTGTCTAGCTTTTGCTTCCATTCTTCCACCTACAATCAAAATATTGAAAGAAATTATTAATATTAACAATAATTTGTGGTATTTTAATTCTTTTTTTAAAACGATTATTCGATTCCGAAGAGTTGTGTGTTCATTTAACACGGGGAGAGGTGTTTGGATCAGAGATTTTTATAATCAAGGATGCTTTTTTCATTATATCATTCGATTGTGGAGAATCGTATTTATTTAACATGAGATTAGTGTTGGATGAATGGATAAAATGGGTGGGGTGTGTTGGATAAATAATGATTTGTCTATAATCAATGAATACTATCGAAAACCAAACCTCTCTCTATTGGTACGAGGCTTGAGGAGCCTTTTGGGACTATTGGTATCAGACTTGAGACACCCCTTTAAGGAATCCAAAGCCAAGCCCCGAAGAGGAGCTACTTTTTCCATTGGTACGAGGCTTTTTGGGACCATTGGTATGAGATTTGAGGCCTTTTAGGAAGCTCATAGCAAGACTAGAGAATTGTACTCTTTTCATTGGTACGAGGTTACGCTCAAGGTGAACAATATCATACTAAGCGGACAATTTCACGGTTTAATTTTAATTTTAATTATTATTATTATTATTATTATTTTTTAGAGGTAATTTTAATTAATAAATATGGAACCTTGTGGAGGATGTGTTGTGCTAGGAGGGCATGATGGGCAATTTCCTTGGAATACTTCTCTACCACTTCAGCTGCTTCTTTCACCTTACTCTCCTCACCAACTTTCTCCCCAATTTCTGCTGATACCTTCTCTGTTAACTCTGCTACCTTTTCTACTACTTCTGCCACATTTTCCGCCTCTTCGATCATCTTTTCCGCTTCGTCTAACCATTCAAGATCGATACATAACACATCAATTTATAGTATAACTAAATAACGAAAGATCGGAAGAATCAGGGAGGATCTGTAAAGTCTAGTAGAAGTTCGTTAATAATTTTTATTATATATTATTATATAAATATTTGAATAATGTAATGGAAATTTATTAAATTTCAAAAATAGCCTTGAATTTTTTTAAAATGAAAATTGATAATATTTATTTCAAAATTTTACTTTAATTAATTACCCTTCAACTTTAAAACTTTTACAAAACTTTTAAATTATTTATTATTATTATTTTAACTTTGTTTTAAATTAATGAATTTTTTTTTAAAAAAATTTAAAAATAATTTAAAAATACTTTTGGTAACGAAATACATTTTCATCTAAAAACAAATCATAAAAGTTTTTTTTTTTTTTTTTTTTTTTTTTTTTTTTTTT